ATTTATATCATAAACGAATTTAATATTTGTATATGCATTATTTCTGTTGGGTAAAGGAAAACGACTAAGATGTAAATCATAAATAAGTTTCTTATATTTTAAAAAATATTGGAAGAAGAGGAAAAGATGTTGCAGTAAGCAAAAACAAAAACAAAAAATACAAACTTGACAACATTCCAAAGCGATATTTTATATATGTTAACAATTTAATATTATCGTGCAAGCGGAAAATTAAGTCAAAAAATACTCAAGAGCATTAATTTGACATCTTTGACTTCCACAATCACAATAACAATAACACCCCTTGAAGAGTGCACATTTAATAAAGTTCTACTGTTGTTGTATAGTACAATATTTTTCATTCGTAGCTTGTGATTAAAACCATAAATAATAAATACAGTAATTGCCTATACTGAACAGATGCATTCCTGCAATTCACATAACATCAACAAGTTTACAGTTACTATGCGCAAATATTTTCCACTGAACCGCCAAAAGATCAATGGATGCATTGCAAACTACAGACAGCAACGTCACATCCAGCCAATCTTTCTCATCGTTGTTTATTTTTATGTGCAACATTGAGGACAAAAACATTAGCTCACTGAGATATCGATACATTGCGAATCTATCGTACCCATCTCGACTAAGAAATATTCTTGGGAGTCTTATCAAGTGACAACTCAAAAGACAGACTGGAAGTTTCAAAAGGGGGTGGTGGCGTTTATAACTATATTTATACACGACTTTCTCGAGTGAATGAACTCACGTCGAGTGTATCTTAAAAGAGTGCAAGCCAGATGAAGACCGAGAAAGAGGACAGCCGTCGTCGAGTGAATCGAATCGACATGCTCCTTCGTCAGCACTGCACGCCAATATAACTATGAGGAAGTGACATTCTTGTGTCAATATCTATTGAACACACCTGACGCACTCTGCTGACAGAATTGCAGAGCCACGTTTCTTTTTTTTTTTTTTTTTTCAGCCTGCCAAGTCAAGGTACCGCGTGCACGCCGGGGGTCTGATTGAGGATTTTTGAAGCTAATAAGATTGGCAAACAATTAAATATCTTACTTGTGTTACAATTTTAGCCAGTCAGATACGTACACATCAACACCCAAAATACATCGATATCATAAATATATTAAGAGAAATGCGCTGTCGTAATATATGATATGGCAATTTTTTCAGTTTAAAACAGCGCTTGTATCAATGAAATAATTAAATTGAATTATACTATTTACACGTTAAAGCTACAATTTTTATTTCTACAATATTCCGTTTTAGTTTCAACAAAGAAAATGAATTAACAATCACAAATGTATTGTGTGCCTGGCATCTTCTACATACATAGATTGTGAAATAGACACAGAAAAATTGATCCACTCGAAAAAGTTTGGATACTTTGTCACGCTAGTAAGCAAGCTTTTATCAAACAAACAAAATCTAGTTTCTAAAAGTAAATCACGATTGAAAATAAAAGAGAGATTTTTTTTCTCTGAAAGATAAATTCGTTTCGGTAGTAAAATACAGTTCATCAAACAAGTTGCCATCTTATTTGTACGTTCAGAGAGAGCTTTTACTTCGGAGATAGAAATTTACTCTGATTGGCAAACATTCTGAAGGACACTGCTTTCGACGTAATGTAATTAATTCAAGTAATTTTACTTAGCGCTTTCATTAAAAAAAAAAAAAAAAAAAAATAACTGCAATCGTTTATCTCTGAAACGTCAAAGACAAAGAAAAGAGCATTTTTAACAGATGTGAATTTTTATCACTGTACTTAATTTCGTTTAATTAATTTTCCTTTGTAGTACTAGCAAAAAAACACATAAGAGAACGGGAAACTGGTAAAATCAGAAAATTCTCGCAAACGGCGACACGACATAACACAAGCAACATAACAACGAATAAAAAGGCTTTCACCGTTTCATTGGAATAAATTAAATCTAACGGAAGATGGGTGTTTTCGACGAAATTCAATATCTGCCGTTGCTGAAAAATTTAGATAACGATAAAAGAACAGCAGTAGCGATGGAAACAACAGCGGCAAAAAAGAGACAACATTTAGTTGGGAGGGAGATCCATTAAGTGACAATTAATGCAATTTTTGAAAACAGAGAGAGTACTAGATAGCTACTGGTGTTGTTGGCTTTTGTTGTTTGCGTCAAATGAAAGTGGTAACGGCCCGGCCGCATTTTACTAAATAAAACTGACTTTAATTCTTTCCCTCTGCGCAAACAAAGACGAGACACGCCATGCACACGATGACGCATAGAAAGAATAACGCAACAGAGGAAATGTATGTTTTTGTTGCTGCATCGATACGCGCTTTTATCTCACAACAATCTACAATACTGCAACGTAGTGTTGTTGCAATTGCTATTTTCGGGGATGTTTAACGTACGACAAAGGCGTGACAAGAACGCATTATTGAAATTTAAATGTGTTACAATTTTTTTTTGTTAATTTACAGGATAACGTCATTTTATGAAATAAAGCGCTATAAATTGCATTAGTAATCGGCTGATAAAATAAGTAGATTGAGTTGAGGTTTCAACATTTCTAAATGAGGCACAATGAGGCACGAATTTGTGAAGTAACAAGAATAAAAAAAAAATGATGACTCCAATCAAACTTTGAACACATCTTGAAACTGAAACGAGAAAAAACGAAGAAAAATAAACGACAAAAAATAAGATCGAAGAGCAAACGAGTATCGATACAAGGCGAACAAGTCCATTCTTTCCTCAAATCCGAAGGTTTTGATATTATATACACTCGAGGTTGTCGGTGACGCATCTTTCGACGAGATCTCGTCTGTACAGCTTGCAAGTCCGTGTAGGCGTGCGCCTTTAGCCGGTAGTCGGGAAAATCGATTCACCAGCTCACCAATAAGTGGCTCAGTTGGAACGTAGACACGTGGCCTTTATATGTGTGTACAAGTGTACTGTACCAGGGCAAAGAAGCGTCTCTTGGTCCTACATTAAAGACGTGATGTTTCGTGAATGAGACAAATTAGAGGCAAAAATGAAGCTACTTCTCTAGTATAGTGATTTCAAAGCTTCGTCGTTCAAGTATCTTGATGTGTTTTACACTGTACATTGATCTTCATTGACATAAACGCGGTTGAACTGTTATTTTGACGAGTGATGAACAGCAATCTTTCTAGTCCGCTTCTCTATGAATATGTGGAACATTTTTATTCATGGTTAACTTTTATTCCGAATACTCTGGAATTTATTTTTTCCAGAGTTTTAGCGTCATAAAATGAATGGATTTAATCCTTATCAATATCAGTGTGTACACGTTTTAAATTATCGATTGATTGAATGTAATGATGAAACAAAGATTTGAGAGATAGGTATGAAAGTATTGCGGCGAAATGAATTAGGTCAATTAAAAAAAAGTTGAAACACGATAAAATGTATGAAAGATGTTGGAGAATTAAAAACCACCAAAACCATGTGTTGTGATATTCTGGCGTCTCTATAATAGATGAAAGTGTTGCTGTCAAATTGAAACATCAGACTTCAGCTGGTAACATAAAAATAGACACATCAGCACGGCAAAAACATAGTACATCAAAAGATAGTCGATTAGACGGTAGTTCGTGATGATCAACTCTCATCCAATGGACATTACCTGTTAATAAAAACAACTCTTCCACCTATCGACTTTCTGGTGGGCATGTGCAAAAAATACACTTCAATGTGCTCGTGTGTACGTATTACGAGAATAAAAATGTAAGAAAACAAGGGGATATAATTAATAACGTTTCTCTTTCATGTGGGCTGAAAGTGGCGTTGGAAAACGCATGCGTGGGGCGTGCGGAGCATGCGCGCGTTCTTCGCTTGACTGTGCTTTTTTCAGAGCTTGCACCACCAAAAGAGAGAACGAAATAAAGAAACTCGATATCGAGTGGGAGCTTGCTCTTCTCGTCGTATATACACAGAAATTACATTACTTACACGTATAGGCCGGTGCGATTATTATAATGTTAGGTAAGTATCCAAGCTCTCTTTTTTTTTCGTACAAGCCCAAAATACTGTCACTTCTCTTATTTTACACACACACGCTCTTTTGCTCTCGTTCTCTCTCTGTCAAGGACACGTGTCGTCGACTGCTACACTCTACCGTTGTCGTCTGCCTATTTATGTGTGGATACACGTATATTGCCCTCTCGGTGACGATGTTTTTTTCTCTATTCCAAGCACGACTATCGCTGTCCAAACAAATTTCGCAGACACAAGGACACACAATAATGACTAGAGTTACGATCTTTGATGCGAAAATCCCTGCGTACGCGATACGTACAATTAGAGATTAGATAACAAACAGTACAGAATCTTCCTCTGGATTTAATGAAAAAATGAACAAGTCGCAACAACCTGAATGACCATTCATATATGGAAAAGCATTTCTTAAAAAATTTACCCCATCATTCGCACAAGAGCTAATAAGTACAAGTGTAAAAGAGTGAGAAGCAGAAGAAGAAGTAAATTGGGAAAAGTGTAAAAGCTCGGCCGAGCGATAGATCAGAGCTTTTCCTTGCGTGATGCGTGCGAGCGAGACCTTGGACACGCGAAAATCTATACGTCGCGGTGTGGCTTGGCTCGGTTTTTCCCCTTTTGTACAAGATATGCCGTGCACAATTGGAACACACAGTAGAGAAGGAGAAGAAATGGTGTGGAAACACGTAGAAAAAAAAAAAAAAAAAAAGAGCACAAGTAAAGATAATATCTACAGCGTGAAGTGCTGTGACACCAAGTGTTGCGTGTGTACAAGAACATAGATCTTACGGATAACGAAGTAGAAAAAGGGGGCCGTTGATATTCCGAGAGAGTAATATAGAGTTAAAAAAAAAAAAGGTGTGGGTACGTGCTTCGTGGGGCTCGTTCATGACCGCCTGTGGGGGTTGAAAAAATAGACAGTGTCGCGAAAAAAAAGAGGGGGTGGACAACCGGGGTGGTCGGTGGAAAATTGGCACGGGTACTTACTCGACGACGACTCGACCTCGACGAGGTTGCTCGCTAATAATAGCAGGCCGATCATCACGAAGGCGGCCAGGCTCTCCATCTCGGCTGCGCTGTCGTCTTGCCTATTTGTTGTCCTGCTGTTTCCACTGCTGCAGTTGTATGCTCCGCTTCTCGATGAAACAGCAAACCCCCAGGGGATCGTGTTTCCCTTGTTTCTCTTGGTTTCGTTCGTCCACCAGGAGGTCGGTTGCTTTTTTTTTTTTTTTTTTGTACACAATTGCCGAGGTAGTTGGACCTGGCCCCTCCGCTCGCTGGCTCTACTGCTGTTACTCCTCCTCCAACGTAACCCTAACCTCAATCGCGAGGCGCGCGCACACACATACACCCAACACTCCCCTGCTGCAGCACACTACTGTTGTAAATGTCGAGTTGGGTGAGAGGCGCACCCGCGAGTCCCTCCTCCTGTTCCTCTTTTACGTCAAAGTGTTGTCACGCACAATAACTCCGAATGCCGTGCATCTGCGTGCTCTAGAATCCAGAATTGTCGTATCTCGGTCCCCCTCTTCTGTGTACGATTGACAGGTGGAGAGAGAGAGAAAGAGAGTGTGATTATAAAAAAGATTCGTCAACAGAGTCACTCTCGCTTCCTCGGCGATGACGATGTAGAGGCGAGTGAGTATGTATAAGGTATACACTAGCTCGCAAGCGTATACACGAACGCAACAATCACAAGACCACGGCAAGGCCGCACGGTAGGTAATGGCCGCCCAATAAACGGGTATACTACTTGTGTAAACATATACGTATCTCTCTTTCTCTTGCACCCCTGCTGAGTGCTGCGTGATGTCATACCAGGGGTGGCGCGCGAATCCACGGTACCCTTGGCCACCCTTGGCCACTATCTATACCTATACCGTGTATTTGCGGCTGTGTGATCGATTTCGTTGACGGTTATTAATTAACACGGTGCTACTTTGTGTTTTTAAAGTTTATAACAAAATGATTCAAACAGTCGATGTTAATATTGGAATTAATCAATTTATCGGGTATTGGCTTTTAAAAAATAATTTAAAGATTCCTCGACACTTTGGATCTGCCAAGTTAGCCGTCGAGAGTTGATTGTTGAAAGTATAATTATTTAATTTTTAGGTGTATCCTGCACATTCTTTTTTTAATTTTACAAGATTTGTAATTTGTTAAAAAGCGGTACAACATTTTTTTTTTTTATGGATCTACATTATTTTTAGCCCCAGTTTATGTATAGAAAACAAGTAAGATATCTTGCACTATGCATATTACGTTGGAGCAACACGATGTATACCTACAATTAATCCATTTTAGTTGATTTCCGAAACATTTTTAAGGGTAACCATGAAAGTTTATAAAGTAATTGAAAAAAAATTGTTTTCAAATCTAAAGGAGCTTCATTAACGGGGAACCACAATCGTTCGCTACGCCCCTTGCGGTTCATACAGTCAGCTGCCACATGATGCCACATATGTATATATTACGTAAGTATAAAAGGTTTCGGGCCCTGCTATAACATCTTGTTTCACCTTCAGCTGTTTCGATAGCACCATTGAAAAAGCAGATCCATGATGAATATTTATTTACTTTTTTTTTTTTTTTTTTTTTTTCCTAGTGGTAAAAAAAGCCAATTAGTTTGATTGTTCATTGTCGCGAATTATGATTATTGTTATTACGCAAATCATAGTCGAACGTTGATGAAATTATTTTAAAAAAATAGAAAAGAACCCACCCGTCTCAACTTTTCATTATAACAATTCACCCCGAATAGAAACAGTTTGAAGGATTCCGCGTAAAGTACAACATCGATCGGCGAACGCGCCAACAGATGGAGCGAGCGGTCCACCGCACCAGCCGTGTCTCTCGCACACAAATTCAAACTCCTCCGCCAAAGTTGCGCCTAAGTAGGTATATATGGGTAAGTACCGAGCAATTCATCCCTCGGTTTCTCGCGCAGTTCGTCTCCAATAAATTAACAGCCATCACGGACAAAGTTCGCGCCAAGTTACCGCCACTCTCGACCATCCATCCGACGTTTAAACGCACTTATGACGGGCACGTAGTGCTTTTTGGATAAGTGTGCCCATCTATAGGTACTACCCCCCCCCTATATATATATATATATACACATCTTTTCCATTTAGATGTACGGTGTTATTATACGCACCGCGCACTTGAAAAAGTATGAGCAATTAAGCCGCAAGACCCTCCGCGAGTGCACGTCCATTTATTATTATTCATTGCTGTTTACCTCGTAATGGCCATTCTCCGGGCGGGCATTAATAACGAAACTTTTTCTCAGCGCGCCCCGACTCCGCTGGAAGAAACCACCGGGTACATGCCTTTGCCAAGCCACCGGAGGGTCGTCGATTAACCGGACGCAATATTTGTCGCTATTAGCATTTTTATACCGTCTACCCGCTCTAGCTCTTTCCCCCAAGTGTTGTATACCGCAACTCGCTTGTGTATGTACCGTATACTGCAAAATCGACGTCGGTTTCGAGGGAGAAAAAACAAAATTCTCGGGTGTAAGTGTACTTTCGTCGTCACACGAGCGCGTTGCTAAGCGCCCTTATCAATTCCCTCGAGAGACGTATCGGCCGATCCACTTTTTACTCTCCGTATTCGCGATCGCCTCGGTTATATCCCATTGTTTTGTACGCGACCGAGTGTAATTGAGTTAAAAAGACTCTATTTTTTTTTTTTTTTTTTTTTTTCCTAGTGGTAAAAAANCTGCTTGTCTCGGTCGAGAGGAGCTGCGGGGTGGTGAGTGAGAGAGAGAGAGGCCGTGTACAAGTATACGAGGGGAGATGGGAAAAGTTGCCCGATGAATGTATGTGCATTAGACACCCTCTATTCATCTCGTTGAAGTTGCGCCAACTATTCCCATATACTGTACATCACGATGTTTCTTCATATTTCGAATCACAGCCGAATAACTCGAGTCATGTAGGGGCGTGCTTCGAATCCATCGACTTCGATCCACGCCCCGATAAGAAAAAAAGTTCAATGGAAAATAAAGCACCAACGGCGTTCTCCCGATAACGAGATGGGGGGGGGGGTGTATACAATTAATTTGCAGCGCTCGTCTTCCTGCCGCGTCGAAATCAACAAGCTATCCATAAAATAGCACCCCCTCGACGACGTGTACGCCATACCACGTAATTGGCAAAGCCAGCCGCGAGGCAGTCACGCGTAGCCCCGAGTTTTTTTTGCACCCACAAAGAGAGAGAGAGAGAGAGAGAGAGTTGTAAAGAAAGAAGGGGAGAGTTGAAGAAAAAGGAGCCGGACGAGGAGCGAAAATAGAAATAAAATAAAAGTAGAGGGGGTTATTGGTGGAAAGAAAGCAACGAGTGTTTACCCTCTCGGGGGGGGTTAGAGGGCGGAACGTGCGAAGATTCACAGAAGTCAGGCTCTTCGCGGCTTCCTCCCCCTGCGAACTCTCCGATAATAATTCCCGATGCGCTCCGCGATCTGCCGGTGGTGAACGAACGTAAGTATATATAGGTAAGGGTGTACGTATGTACACGGAAAAGGAAGAGGCAAGTTGAAAAAAAAAAAAGGGAGACACGGGCAGAGTAGTGCATAGCACCCTCGCGGAGAAACCGGGGGAAGGAAAATCCGAAGCAGCTCGGGAAAAGGGGGTCGCTCGGGGTGGGGCACACCATCACAATATCCCGAGGAATCTGCGCTCACTCTCTCGCTCATACTATAGATGTACGTGGGACATTGCGACGCCGGACGTCGCGGCGCCTGCCATCCGACCTAACTTTTCCTTTCCTGCGATGCAAGGGGGGTGGGTGAGGGAAAAAGATGGGGCTATGGTTGCATATATACGTATACACCTACTGCGATGCAGGCGTTCGTCGTCCCTCAACAGCGCAGTGTAGCAGCAGCCGTCAGCCAGACAGCCGTACTTCCTATTCTCCTTTTCGGCCATGTCGCGCTACCGCTGCCTCTCCGATGCCTGCACCATCCCCCATTATACTACATTGATCGGCGCTCTTGCTCCTCAGTCTTGTTCAATCTATACGCGTATATATATATATACATATATCTCGAGGATCAGCTTGCGTGCACGTAAGACCGATCTCTCTGTGCACAATATGAATTTGTACGTGTTCGTGGGGATGTGTAGCTGTATAAACGTCCAGCTCCCGAGGGAGGGCTCCTTGTCTCTGTATTGCCCTGCATTCTGTCTCGGGCTCGCGATATAATCCCAAACATCGTCTCGGCCCCTCGGCCTCCTTTGCATACAGAGCTCGAAGGGAGAGATGCCCAAAACCCACCCCACCCAACAACAACAACAACAAGCCCCCGATATACACAGACGCGGGGCCGTCGGCACGTGTATACACCGGCCATTCGATGCAATTTGGAATTATTACCTCCTCCGTGTTATCATCCCTGATGGAATTATGCCGCTCGAGTTGTAATCGAATAGCAGCCAGGACTACGCGAGAGTCCCTTCCACGAGAAGTAAGCAATGTATATATACAAATGGAAAGGATGTTCCTTGCAGGTACTTACACGTATTTGTACTCTCCGGAGCTGTTCGTATATATATATACATCCGCACCGAAGTACGTCGGGGAAAATCTTCCAAGGAGGCAGCGACGCGAGATCGTGGTTAACAATAGGAGTGGCGCGGATTTCTCGGGGCGTGGTACGATGATCACGATGATTAATGATGATGTACCTGGGTGATGTTGTGCACCGTTGGTATACAATATTGCGTTCTATTGCTGGTCCCTTTGTGCGAATCCATAGAATATGGAAGCGATCACAGCTTGATCCGATACGCTATCGATTGAGATGTTGGCAAGTACGACGTACTTTATGTGTATATTAATGGATTTTTCTTATTCATGTAAAACGAGACTTTTTTTTTTTTTTTTCTTTTCAAGTTTGATTGTTTAAGGTAAATTTTATTACGTGTAAGTTATATATACAAAGCGAGTTTATTATGTGGACTTAATCGATGCTTCGAATAGTGTATACATTATTGTACAGATTTACTTTAGTTTCACTAAGATATATCCAACTTTATTTACCCCTGTATTTTGTACCTCTCGATAAATTGCGTGAGCCCTTTTAACAAACTTGGGAAGAAAGTAACGAGAAAATACACGAAGTAGTGGTCACACGGTAGGTGGGTGTTGGGTGAAAACACGCGCGACACGTCATTCACTCGCGTATATGTACGTAACACGATGTCGATGTGTAACAAACTTTCGCGCTGACTCCACTTTCCGGCGTCCCCCCAACGGTTTTGACACAACCGTCCCCCCCGGCAATTTTAATCCAGAAGGAAAGCGAAAGCGAGAAGGACAAAAGTTTGACGACCTGTCAACACCGCCACCGGCTCGATCGCCCAATGTGCCACGAATCGAGAGACTTGGCGCGGACACAATATATATTTTTTTTTTTTTTTTTTTTTTTTTTTTCCTAGTGGTAAAAAAAGCCAATTAGTTTGATTGTTCATTGTCGCGAATTATGATTATTGTTATTACGCAAATCATAGTCGAACGTTGATGAAATTATTTTAAAAAAATAGAAAAGAACCCACCCGTCTCAACTTTTCATTATAACAATTCACCCCGAATAGAAACAGTTTNCCCTCCTCGAGGAGCATTGCGTGGTGAAAAAGCACATGTGAAAAATCACAGAGGTACTTGCCCGAAAAAGTCGTACTATGGCCGGGAATTGAACCACGGTCTCCCGCGTCTCAATCCACGACCT